TGTTCACGTTGCTCTTGTTCACGTTGCTCTTGTTCACGTTGCTCTTGTTCACGTTGCTCTTGTTCACGTTGCTCCTGTTCACGCCTTGCATACTCCTCCCTTGCTTGTTCTTCCTGCCGAGAACGTTGCTCAGTGGCATCAATGCTGCCGTGAGAGGTCGCTAATTGGTTCCATATCTGGGCCAACAAGCCGTCCAAGAGATCAGAAGGCCCCATAAAGGCGAAATAAAGCGATCTGAGGACGAAAAATGACGTGATGCCTTCTCCGACCTCGTATTGTTGGCTGTGCAGGTGGTGGAGGAATAAGAAGTTCTGGTCGTCCTGAAAATTGTCTAAGTTGGGTAACCCGCATCTCCTTTGCAGCTTTTCTCCAGGGCCTGAGGTGGTGAGTATCAGTCTGGACAGCTCTGGAGCAATAGAGGGTTGCAGTAATGCTTCTGTATCCACCAGCCTGCGAACCTCAGGAGACTCGAATCCAACACGTATGGCCAATTCCGCGAATTGGCGTAGTGTGGCTCGGTTCGCCTTCGCACGAGGTCGGACTGTCACATCGTCACTCATCGGCTCTCGTGGGATTTCGACAAAGTGTCTCATGGCAAAGGCGACGATCTGGCGATAACCGAGGTCCACCTGTGCATCGTGCGGGCCTTGGAGCGTTTCAAAGCGCGTCTCGCCCACTTGGATCACAGCTTGGTCATCGCGTTGATTGATGGCGCTAAATCCACGTTCAAAGGACGACAAGATCGTGTCGCGGCGTGATATGGTCATCAGGTGCTTGATGCTACCGACGCATGCCTCCCAGTAAATGATATCCCGGAAGAATGTATGTAAGGATGGAATCAGGTACTTAAATTCGCATAACCGCTCGAAGATGTACCGTCGCTCCTCCTCACTGAAGGCTCTCAGAATTCGACCGGCACGTATTTGGGCTTGAATTTCCTCTGCGTCATTTGAGGATGCACCTGGAGCTCGGAGCTCCAGCGCCTTCACGTCTCGATAATCAAACTTTTGCAGAGCACTGGGGTCACCATCAACCAAAACGTGCCAAAAGCGTCGGACATGTTCGAGATAGTTCAGTATCTCCTGCGACGAGTCGGTCCGTGTCAAGTCAATGTTTGGTAGCACCACCTACGTCGTCAGATTTCAGTCCCAGCACTTTGTGAAGCGTTGTGAGTAACATCCCACCCCATAGGCCGGGGACATCGAGCAGAGCGTCGAAGGCGGCGGTGAGTTCAGGGTGCTTCAACAGTGCTCTCAAATTACGACTCCGGCAACCTCGGAGGCGAGCCCACCATCGCAATTCAAAGCTAAGGTTCCGCTGAAAGTGGTACAGGCGGATCTTGTAGAAGACTATTCCGTCCGTGGGGATGCTTTCGTTCGCGTATTCCTCGACGAGGCAGCGCTTGACATCCGTCGACAAACCTGGGCGGTACATCAGTCCGCAGCGTTCACCGTGACGCTTTGTAACTCACCGCCGAGGTAGATGTCAGCGATCCACCATTTGTCCCGAGGAGACAGAAATTCGCGACCGGCTTGGATACGGTGCTTGCCATGGAGGCAGATGACTTCGGTACCGGTGGGAAACCGGAGCTCAGGGTAGTCATCTCTTTGGGGGGTGAACAGATCCGCGGCCGCCACACCAGAAAGATCAAGGGCGGCATCGAAAGAGGTTTCATCAATCTCGACCAAAATACGATTGTTGATGAGTTGTGGTCGACATCCTTCGCGTCGGTAGATGCCTTTTAGACGTTCAACGTTGTTTCTATCAAGTTGCTCATGAGCTTCGAATTGAACCTTCAAAACATCAAGAGAGATACGGGCGGTCCCTCGATGTTGCCGGCGCCTTTCCGTTTCGAACTTTGCATCCTCCAGTCGGGCTCGGCTGGTTCGCATGACGCGGAAACCTCTTGATGGGCAATATTTCCAAGGCCTAACTGTGCGCAAATGACAAGAACGACCGGCTAACAATGGCGCGTGGTTGCAGTGTTTGGAAATCTTGATGACTTGATCTTGATACAGTGATCTTACTGTTACAGTATCAGGATTATATAGGTCCGAACGGGCTATAGTTGTAAGGAAGTCCGAGGAATAATGGTAAGTTAATGAAAGACAAAATAGAGGAGTTGAGCTCGTTTTCCGCGAAACCTATATAAGTAGGTAATTTAAGCAGCACCTTAGAAGGTACTACAGTAAGTCGTCGCGTTTATTGATGATGTACCTCGATCTGGCGGCTTTTCCCAAGTTCGTAGTGAATTCCCCTGCGTGACTGACTATACAGGATCTTCCTTTCTCCGTCACAGTGAATTTTTAACACCCACCTGATGAGTTACAGTACGAGAGAAGATGAGCAAAAAAGTGATTAATTTAGTGGGGAACACAATGAGACATTGTAACAACATCATAAAAGGTGTACAATCGTTTATATCGTTAGGTCTGCACTTGCAAGCCATTAAGATCCACTCAGCCTTGCCTCCGGACTTGAGAACTTTGATCTTGAATGGGCTGGTAGACTTGACCATGCGGACCACACACCAAACTGAGATAGTTATTGTACCCTCGTGCGCATTTGCTCGTTCTAGTGTGTAGACAATTCCGCCTTGATGTTGACCATATTGTCCCTGAGTGCGTTCGTTTGCGTGTTGAGTTCCGATACACACACACACACACACACACACACACACACAACCGCCCTCCCCCTCCTGACACCTTGCCACCTTCTCGTTGAAGATTAGCCGATTATGCTATACCTAATTGGCAATAGTTCGTCTTCGAATAACTTATGAACATAACAAAGCGATACAGTAGATCCGTGACACAAACTATACTGTGATCTTTATTGCTGAGATACAACCCTGAATATGGTTCGTTTCTATCTAAGTCAACCAAGTGAGATGTCACGCTCGGACACTCATTGCAAATTCCTTGTCTGCTCGTTGAGTTGTTCTAAGATTCAGGTGAGGGAGCCTCGACAATCTCCTTTTGGGAACAAGTCTCGTCATGAGAGGTAACCCCTTTAATTGCACTGGTGTAGGTGGGTGGCGCCTCCGTTACTTCTTGGGCGTTATCTCTTTTCTTTGGGCTCTGTTTTGGACGGAACGATTGAGGCCGCTTGTTGATGATACAAAAGACGCACAACATTTTGTTTGAATGCTAAATAAGAGGTTTCTCGAATATGATACGGCGTTTGTGCGATCACAAAAAAATGCTAAATAAGAGGTTTCTCGATACAGTACGGCGTTTGTGCGATCACAAAAAGGTGGAAAGGGAGATCCGTTTTATATTTAAATCGTGTGGATAGAGCCAAATCGAGTCCCAGGATCCTGTTCAGGTCGCCCCTTTTCTACAGACTTTGGCTGTTGGACGTAAAGATGGTACTGTAAGCGGGAACGACGGTTTGGCTCCGTTTCGTTCGCCTTGCCTTGGGACCTTGATCTGCCTCTCCGGATGCACCATCCATTTGGCAGGTTGCAGCGACCGCCTGTCTTCGTCGCTTTTCCCCCTCCGTCTTACGGGCCTTCCAATCTCGGCGAATCCTTTTGCTTCCGGTGTTCTCTTTATGCCACGAGAATGCGAATTGACGTGCACCTTTAGGTGGTTCAAGGTGCCATATGTCTTTTCACAGCCATTCCAGCCACATTTGTACATTCCATCTATCTCTTCATATCGTCGGCGGGGTCGCTTCTACTGAGAACTTGGGGAAACGGGTAGGAATGAGTAGGCCCGGGCAGCAGGTGATGATGTTAGAGGGCTCATGCGTGCCAAGTCCAGCTGAATCTTTACTGGAGGAACAGACAAGTATTGCTTACGTGATATGCGGAGGCCCAAAAAAGTTGCGTAAACCTTATTTGGACTGCGAGCCTCGGATAGCATGGAACCACAACATACACATTGAGCGACCTACACAAAGGAATATTGTCTCCCTTAGGTTCATTTACGGAATTGGTATGTGTTTTATGATTGATCTGAGACTAGGGAACCTATGATGTGGCGTAGAAGCCCCCTCCTGTATCTATCTCTTGAAGGGTTGGAAATCCGTCTCGACCAATGTTACCTTCTCATGAAGATGCCGTCGTGCCAATCTCCGCAAAACGTCCCGAGTTTCCGCAAATGCTGACACTGAATTGGATTAGTCTGCGTCTTTTTCAGGGAACGGTAATGCTCACTGAGGATGAGGGTCGAGCCCTGGGACGCATGCCGTAATTCGGACGCTCGCCTCTTCTCCTGTGCTGGCGGATGGAGTATGCCGACGTCACTTTGGAGTGGCACATCTGTCCATGGTTGCATGAATTCATCTGTCGAGTACTCGGAAAGAGCACTTCGGCGCGCCACGTTTGGTACGTCTGCGTTTGGTCAACTTGCAATCGAGAAGAGGAATCGGGACCTCTTACATTGGGTTCGATACTCGGGGGGAATTGGGGTTGAGGGAAGACTTCCCGGAAAGCCTTCCATTTTGTCGTCTCGGGATTTATCATGGAAAGCCAATTCCTTCTCCACCAGTTCGTCGAACTTCGCCTTTCCGGGATAGACAGTGCTTCGTCTCCCGAATGAGATCTTTGAAATATCGTCGAGGTTGACGTAGATCGAGACTTGGAGGATCTATCATTTGATCAGTGACGGAAAAAGATTGATTGGACGAATCACGTACACCGCCGCTCTCCAGTTTGTCCTCATCCAGGACATCGTTCACAAAGGGTTGCGCGGCAATGCCGACATCTGAGATCATTTAGCAGAGATCGGGTCTGGAGTCGGGGTACTCACCAATATCACTGATCTGCCAGATCAAATGGATTCTACGAGTGACCACACGACGATCGTGGTAGCCATGAATCAGCTTCTTCAGGTATGGCACTTGAGAGGCAATTCCCACTCCATCAGCGATCAACAGGACCGTCTCACATTGACCAACCGGGACCGTGTTGCCGTGTGGCCCGCTAAACATGGCCCATTTGTACTCGAAAGGTCCATCTGGGCGAGCGGTCTGGAGAAGGTCCCTCGTGATGCCTCGCCGTGGCTGGATGAAAATTTCTAAGCATCTTTGCGGCTCAGTGGACCAAGAGGCGACCATAAATGGATGGCTCTGCCAAAAAGCTCCCAGACCTACGGAGGGCATCCAGAGATTGATGTATTGGCCTGGCTCAATGCTCAAAGGTTTGCAGAGATGCACCTTCATTTTTAGCATTCCACATGAGCTCGTAACGGTGACCCGTGAGCGCTTACGGTAGGACCATCCGTTGCGGACGAGTACCAACACGGCTTCGCAGACGAATGCCAATGCCAGCAAGGCTAGGAAGATGATAAGATACAGTCGATCCCGACACCGTATTGACGATAGATGTTCCCAGATAGAAAAAGCACAGAGAAGCGACAATATCTGGTGAAATCGAAGAAAGATCTCATATGACACTTTCCGGACCAAGCGTTGTGGAGTGATCATGAGTATGCAGAGTGCCAACCCGGCCTGTATAGGTTAGCACTTAGACAAGCGGCAGGGAAAGGGAATCTCACGAGAGCCACGAACGGTTTCTCAAGTTCTCTCCGAAATGAGGCCCGCTCGGTCACGGCGGCCACAATGACGTGAAAAGCGACCAGCCCAAAAGCGACGAAGCTAACAGTGCGATGCGCAGCTCGAACGTCGCGCACAGAGAGACCCAACAAGTCGGCCAGAAAGTTGAGATGAAGACCACTCAACAACGGGCCTAAATTGACGACCGCCAACGTCCCTGCGCGGTGTCCGGCGAGCGACAAATTGGTGACACCGACGCTCAAACAAACGACGTTGACTGTTAGGTATATTACGTGCAGCAAGACTGCTGTCACAGTCCAGGGACCCATCAAGGCGTGGCGATTGAGAACATAGGTATAACTTAAATATTGGTGTATCTGGGAAGCGATGGCGAGGATCCTGGGAGCAAACGATGACACCCCGGTTCGCAATAGAAATGTCAAAGTAATGCCAGCGATGACAACCGCATAGATCTGAGTGATCTCCATGGTGACAAAGAATTGAATCGTTTGAACGGAATATTGACTGAGAAAGAGGGCTAACTGTTCATGATTGGGAAGAGCGAAGTATATATAGCCCGGGATAGAATGATCATCCCAGCACTGCGCTGTGTTTGGATCCAAGCAGGCAGTGCAGGCGGTCCCATTCAGCCGGTCAAATCCGATGCGCCTTAGGTGAATCTCACTACTCTAGCTGACAGGGCCCCTTGACTCCAACATAAGTCACGTAGAATGAAAGTGCATGTGAGGCTTGCTTGAGAGCATTTAAGTGCGTATTACCCAATGATTTGAAGTTTTGCGTCATATGACAGAGCGAATACTTTGATTCAATGCTCCATTCCCGCAATCTTATCGACGTACCTGTAGGCTCGTCGGACGTT